TGTTACTTCCTGTGCTTTGAGTTCAGGGTGTCCTGGTGGTTCACTATTGGCCTTTTCATGCTCTGCCCTACTGTTTGCCATTGGTAAACTGGAAGTCTGTCCTGTGTCTTGCTTAAGTGTTTTCTCATTTTAATTTTTGTTGTCAGACTGTCCTTGGTTTAATCTCTGGGTTATCACCCAGATCTTCCTGATATATTTGCGCCCTAGCTTCTGTGTCTCTAATGACCCACAGACATTCTCATCTTCATAACATCAGAGAAAACAGCTCATTAAATCAACGGCAATGCTTTACCCCAACTGATACAATCAGCAACACATTAAGATCAAGCACAACTTGGACACTGACCACCTGTGGTAGTCACTAGTCTATCACCCTTAAATCATTTGAATTAAATTGAAATCAAGAAGCAGTCCAGAACATGTCTGCAGTGAAGAAAAATTTCAATATAGTGTATTTACCATTTAATGGCTCAGACAGAGAGAGGATGCAAGACCCCTGATCTCACTTAGCTGATGGCTGAACCCCATGACGCTGACTGACCTTGGGCTGCAAGGCCCACATTGTGTTCCCCAACCTCCTGAATGGTTGAACGCCACAACGTTCTGTTACAGGTTTCCCATGCCCTTTCTTTAAAGATGTTCAAAGTTGGCAACTCAGAAAAATACCCTTGATGACCACCTCTGTCTTTGCAGAGTGGGTCCAAGGACTGGCACACTCAGGAGGTCTGAGAGTGCTGGGGGGGGGCTTAAGGGGGTTCAGGGGCGCCCTGAGCTCCTTGAGCTTCCCAGTGCTTGAGCTATGGCTGCTGGGTAGGGAGCACTGCAGAGTGGGTCCAAGGACTGGCACACTCAGGAGGTCTGAGAGTGCTGGGGGGGGCTTAAGGGGGTTCAGGGGCGCCCTGAGCTCCTTGAGCTTCCCAGTGCTTGAGCTATGGCTGCTGGGTAGGGAGCAGGCTTGACTCTCCTTCCCGGGGTGGATCGGGGCCCAGGCTACCTTCCTGGCTCTTGAGCAATGGCTGCTGGGTCGGGAGCTGGCATGTATCTCCTTCCCGTGGTGGATCAGAGCCCAGGCTCCAAGATGGCTTTCTGTGTAGGGAGATTTTTCCCTAAGGTAACACTCCTTTGGCACACTTTACATTGCTGATTCTTATCTTTTTTGGTGTTCCACAATTTCCCTGCTGAGGAGGTTGGGTGACTTATCAAAGTTTTAGGATCTTGTAGAAAAGATTCCCTCATGTTCTGAGTTGTTTGTAGATCTTGAAGGGCCAGGACCGAATTATTGGCTGTTTTGTTAGCACAGTTACCTTTCTAGCTCTGGTCTCTAAACTTCAATTGTTGAACACCCAGAAGAGAAGATCAGTAACATTAGCATTGCAATGAGTGTGGTGAATTTAATTATAATTTTACCTGGATATCAAACACTTTGTAATATAAAATATAGAGTACTGTTATTTTTATTAATCATGGTTGCTCTAGTAGTTGTATCCCTGTAAAATGTTAATAGAAAAAAGCTTCAAATCAAGAGTGACACATAATATTTTACATGACAATCATGATGACATTATCTTTGTAACATATTTAAATGTCCACCTTAGTATAAAATAGCCATTGCTAAACATGCTCATCCCTCCACAAAACAGCAAAAAACTCTTACCTGAATTATCTTTTGATAGTATTTCATCTAAAGAAACTGCATCAGTCTATAAATGTACCTGTTATCATAAGTAGCTGGTGTTGTAAGAGAAAGGTAAATACCTGAGTCAAAAGAAGGGTGTTACCATGAATGAAAACTTATATAGTCAGAAGGCAGAAATACATTTAATATACTAGGAAATTAACAATAATACGTGTTACAACTATATTAAAACCTTATGCCCTTTCATTTATTTTGGTATCAAAAGCCTCTTTTTCAATAAAACTTTGTTGTTTTTCTCACAGAAAATTTAATCTTTGGAAAATGACCAGTGTAAATATATTACAATAACATATTTAGAGCTTAACCTTTAGGTGATAACACATGTAAAGCTATTATAATAACACTTTTAAGTAATGTTTATTGATGTAAGTCTCTTATAAGGCTATGGACATTACTGAGATCAGTCTGTAGTAAGATTACTACATTAACCCTTAGTAATTTGTAGTAAGACTACTGTTGAGGTCCCCCTAGTGAGTAAAGGCTGGAAAATATTTTCATGCAGCTGCTACTTTGTTCTCCAAGGGGAGTCCCATTTAGCAGCCTCCCTAAACCTAAGGGTCTCTTTTTAATTACCTTGAAAAAGCTTATTTAATAATGTATAAAAACCAGATTATAATAATTAATGTGTTATTTGTAACCAATTTAAAGTTTGGAGTGATTTTATTTAGCCAATATATGCAAGACAACATTTTCATCTGCTAGCAACCTGCAGGAAAAATGCATGCCTTTAACTTTAATAACCTTTATCTATTAGGCAATTTAAATAATAGGGAAATATCCTTTAAAATTTTTTAAAGGCAGAAAAAGAGAGGAAAAAATTGTTGAGCTCAAATAAAATATATATGATTGGACAGACAAGCAAACACACAAGACTATGCTTAAAACTAGAATGCACTCAAATATATTTAGCTTAACTTATTTATAATATCCCTTTTATAATTTTTAGGTTCATAATTGTAAATAAGACTAGTCAAAATTTTTGTAGGTCAATTAACAGAGAGCTCTTGTAATTAGAATTAGAAGGAATGCAAGCTCTTTATGCCTGTAAATGCAAACTTTTTACAACAAACTTGAAACCAACAATCAAACATATATATTTCCTTGAAAAATCACTTCCACGTACCTTTTCTATGTACCTAGGCATTTTTTTATATCCTTATAACAAGACAAAATATTTACAAAATCTTTTTATATAAAAATATCTTTCTTATACTTATAGACTTCTTAATTTTTATGCTGTCTCATAATAAACCTTCTATAACAAACTTGGCTTCAACTGTTAAAAATTTAAAGTGTTCCTTTTTTCCCCCTGTCCTCAGACAGTTACATTTTAAAATTTCAATGGCTGCCAATAGAGCATTACCCTTGAGTTCTTCATCAAGAAGCAAAGTAGACAGAAGAACAAATTAACCCCATAATTACAATTCAAGAATTGGCAGTGCACAAGTAATGTGTTAAACACACCAATTAAATGTCAGCTTAAATTAGAACAAAAAAATTTATCAATTAGCTAAAATTTGTAACTTGATTTCTTTTGTAAACTCTCTTTATGTCTGGTAGAGCACAATTGCAGTTTCTCTGGCTTTGTTTTGAATTCCAGACCTTTGCAGCAGCATCAAGCTGACAACACAGCACTGGCCTTGGGGCTCTTAAAGTTTCTCCCTTCTCCACACTTGTAATAAATAAACACTGGATGTCCTGGGAGTCCTTTGTCTTTGCTGAGCAGAGCAGCTTAGATCAGCCAAAGACTCAGTCTCTCTAAAGTTTCTGTGTTTCTTTTAATTCCCACTTTCCTATCTTGTGGACCTTGAACTGCCTTGGAGTAAGTCAGCGCTACTGCAGGGGTCTCTGGTAACATCCCATTACCTTTTCTCAATAATTCCTGAGATGTTCTTTAAGTTCAATATCTAAAGTTCATTTGTAAAAATGATGATTATATTTAACTATCACTCCCAGCATTTATTTCAACACTGTGAGTCAGCACCATGAGGCTTGGGCCAAAAGTGATTATGACATTTTTTTTTTCTTTTTTTTTGGTACCAGGGATTGAACGTGGGTCCTTGCACCTGCAAGGAAGGCCACTGAACTGCTGAGCTAACTTGCCAGACCCAATTACAATGTGTTTTAGTCCAGCTGACTACCTTTATATCTTCTCTCATCTGAAGTGCCTATTTGGACATCCTTGACTTTGATGTGAGGTGCTCTGCATTGTCTATATTTCCTTTTATTTTTTTCTGAGTGGTCTCACTGAGCAGGCAATTAAACAGTTCAAGCCTCCACAATAGGCACCTATTACTGGAGACCATTGAAATGCTACAGGAAATCTGCACAGTATGCTCCAGTCTCTTGCTCAGTGAATGACACAGGCCTGAGGAAAAAAATTAAAAGACAGAACTAAGAGACAGAAAATAGGGTGTCAGGGTGACCAATGCTGGTGCAACTGACAAAGGCACTGGCTGGTCCAAGTCTGATTTTTTATTGGTAATCGATTGTGGTAAAGGCAAGCTACATGCAAAGGCAGTACTAAGTGTGAAGAGGTGCAATAATGTGCTTGTCATGGAAATTAACGTAAGCAAGGTTCATGAAGGACAAGACAAAGCATTATCAAATTAGGAACAGAATAGACAAGATATATAGTTGTAATTAGAACATTGCCCTTCTAGGTAGAAGGTTTTAATTGTAGGAATGGAATTTGGGTGCAAGTTACTCTGATCTCAGCATGTAGGCTTTGGCCAGACACACTTTAAAAGCAAGCCAATTTTGGGATTAGCTCTTCACATCCTGCATTGGGCATAATCAATATTACAGTCTCCTGCAATTAAGTCCATATGTTCAAGGGTGTGGGTTAGCTCTGAAATTTCTTTATTGCTTTTATTTGTTTAGTTTATCTATCTCTTTGGAAAAGTGGGTGTTAAAAATCTAATGATTGTATTAGTGTTTATTTCATCTAACTTCAGCAGTTCCTTTTTAATGAAGATAGGTGTTGCAGTATAAGGTGTATATATATGTTTATCAATATTATCTCTTCTTGTTATATTGTTCCTTTAACTAGTATGTAGTGAACTTATTTGTCTCTTCTAATTATTTTAATTGGATGTTTGCCATGTCAGATATTAGAAATGCTATTCCTGCTTGTTTTTGAGGTCTTGGTGCATAAAATGTTATTTTCTATCCTTTAACTTTTAGTCTATGAATATCTCTTTGATTAAATGAGCTTTTGAAATACAACAGATTGTGGATTTCATGTTTTGATTCAGTCTGCCTGTCTGTCTTTAATTGGGGAGTTTGGCCTTTAACATTTAGAGAAATTACTGAGAGGTACTGAGAAATTTATTATGATTGCCTTCTTTTTCTTTTGTTAACCCAATGCTTTTTTCTCTTGATGTTTTTAGTTGCTATTTATTCATTGCCCTCACTTGTTTTCTATGTTTCTAGCAGTGTCCTACCCATTGTTTCTCTTGAGAATATTTTAAAGTATTTTTTCTAAAGTTGGTTTAGCACTCATATCTTCTGAGTTGGCATTCCTCATGGAAATACCATATTTCTCTTACTTATTTCTCCATCTATTTTGAAGATAGCTATGCTAGGTAAATTAATCTGGGTTGGAAGTTATTTGCTCTTAGGGCTTGAAATACCTCACTCCAAGCTCTTCAGGACTTCAGGGTTTGTGCTGAGATGCACGTTACAATTCTAATTGGTTTTCCTTTATATATGATTTTTTGTTTTTCTCTGGATACCCTTAAAATTCTTGTTTTTTTAGATGCATATCTGGGGATTTAATAAGAATATGCCCTGGTGAACTTCTCTTTTCACCAAAATTGTTTGATTTTCTGATATTGTCACTTGTATTTTAAACTCTGTTTTTTTGAAAAATTTCTTGTCTCTTTTTTGTCTGCGTATTATTGAATCCATCTGTACTATGTTCTAGTTTTTCTCTAACTCTGATTAGCCATGGAATGGTCTTCTTCTTGTCATTACTACATGCTGGATAGCCTTCTTATGTTTTCTTATTTTCTTTCTGGGTTATTTGAGCTCTTTATCATGTCACTGTTTTATGCAAATAACAAATACGTTGTCTTCACATTAATAATTTTTGCAATGTATGAATTCTATAATGTTTTTTATTTGTGTGAAAAATAACTGCTCATGATAAGGTAACCTCAGAAGAAGAGGACTTTAAAAATTAAGTGTATATGAAGATCTGTGATGCATATACCAGTCAATCTCCTTCCGCAGCCATCTCTCTTATTGCCAGTGTGCTCATGAACAAAGTGGCCATGGTGTCAGGGGAGGAAGTTATGAAGGGGCTCTGTAAAAATGACTCCCACTTACCACAGCTGGCCTGTCTACAGCCACTGCTGAGGGCCTACCCTGCCAGAAGCAAAGAGCAAAACTGTACACTCTCCATGAGAATCAGCCAGCAACTCGGTGGCAGGTTAATTCTGTTTGATTACTTTCATCATGGAAAGGGCAGTACTTTGTCCTTTCTGGAATAGAAGTTATTCTGTGTGGATTTGCTTTTCATGCATGTAATGCTTCTGCCAAAACCTACATCCATGCTTACCAAATGCTTCATCCACATTCATGGTATACACAATGCATTGCTTCTGACTGAGGAATGCACTTCCTGGCCCAACTAGTATGCTGGTGGGGTCATGCTCACACAATTCACTGGTCTCTTATGCCCACCATCCAGAGGCAGCTGGATTGAGAGAATAAGGAAATGGTTCTTTGAAGATACAATTACAGAGGCACTAGGTGGCAGCATTTTGCAGCACTGGGATGAAATTCCCCAGAAGTCTGTATTTGCTCCTAGCGAGGTTGCGGTACTATATATGGTACTATTTCTCTCAGAACCAGGACTTATGGCTCCAGGAAACTATACTTGAGAGTGGAAATGATACCACAGACCATTGCCCTTAGGGGCCCACTAGCAAAATATGTGCTCTCTGTACCTGTGGCCTTTCGTTTGCTGGTCTAAAAGTGAGTTACAGGAAGAGGAAGAACAATGATTCAGTTCATCTGGAATTTGAGAGTTCCTTCTAGTCATTTTTGGGCCATCATTCCTCTGTGTCACAGGCCACAGAGAAAATTATGCTGCTCCTAGGGGGTGAAGGATCCAGGCCACCAAGACGTAAATGGTCTGGTACTCCACAATAAAGGTAAGGAACAGAAGGTTGGCATGCAAATGATTCTTTAGGACACTCCTAATATTACCTTTTTGTGTTATTAGTGTCAAAGGGAAATTACAGCAACTTAGTGCATGCCCTGCAGGATGAGAACTTGCCCCAATCCTTCAGGAGAGAAGATATGGGTTATCACTCCAGGCAGAGAACCAATCTTGGCTGATTTAATATCACTAATAAAATATTATTAAATCTACACTATAAGTTAAGTAATAGCATGGGAAGAGTAAGCATCACCCACTGGAAACTTTGCTTTCTTTCTGGGGAAAGAGTTAATGTTTTATCTTCTATGCCAAATAATTGTGTTATGGGAATGTTAATCATGAGGTATCAAAAATGACTGAATTGAGAAACATCTAGCAGATTAGTAAAGTGTACTTTTGGATAAGCCTGTAGTTTTTCTCCATAGATTATTGGGGTTTAGTCCACCAATCTGAACAGGGAAGAGCCACTTGCCATCCAATGAATTTGCAGGCCAGTAGAATAAAAGGGGAAAAGGAAGTCTATTGCAGTGTTTGGAAGCTTCAGTTTCTTCAGCCTCCCAACGCAGACTCACACTGGCTAATCTCCAGTAAGCTTTCAGTCTTTTGGTGTTGGACTGGTGTTGTTCTGTGTCTTCCAGCTTCTTCTCTTGTTCTGTGTCTTCCAGCTTCTTGGGTGAGCAGCTGCTGGATCCATCCCGAGCACACAAGTGGCCATTGTAGGCTCTCCTGACTCTGATCCTTCAAGCCCATGTGTTGTACCTTCTCACGTCATTTTATATATGTGTGCTGAATATATTTTATTGATCCATTCATCTGCAGAGCCCTAACAAATGAGTTATAATAATACTTTCACTAGATTGATTGATTATAGCTATGAAGAAATCAACTTACATATACTTTTATTCATAGGTATGATGTTAGTTTTCTTAAAGTTTAGTTTCTGTTCATTTTACCATAATCAGGACTAGCCAGTGTCCTGTGACCCACCTTCCCACAGAAATCTTCCTCAATACCATGTAATGTTTTGCTTCCCTGTCACTCAGAACATGCTTGTGTATTTGATTTTCTTATATTTTTGGTAGGTGGATCATTCCATCAAGGAATTAATTATTATTTCTCCATCCATTTTCTTTTTCCATATACACCAAAATTGTAAGGTGCTTTATTAACCAATTATCACTGTAGGTAATACTGACTATTTAAGTATATTGCACTTATAAGGCATGTTATATTTAATGAATAAATAAGGAAGTCATGAATGTAAATTGTTATGTCATAAAAAGATATTTTTTATATTATCTAAATGATATTTGGGGATGGATGATACATAGGCTTGAATTGGAGGTAGTGTTTCCCCTGAAGCTCTATCCTACTTCTCGATGTGAAGTTTTTAGTGTATGTAAAAGTGTAGCAGTAGAGAGAGGCAGGGGTAGCATTGTGTTAGCATAGGTACAACATCATGGACTGTTATGATATCAAAACACTCGAGTCTCTGATTTCTCCAGTTTCTCTAACTCCTGATTTATAGTCCTGTACATGCTTTCTAAAAGGAGAAGTTATAGCATTAATGCATGCCTGCTCTCAGCTACATTGATCTATGGCTAGAGGTTTATGTTCTGCTTGGTGGTGCCTGTGCTAGTTGAATTCTAAAACATATAATTTAAAATTATTCCCTTTAAGTAGGCATGGCTCAGAGTCACATTGTTAGGAACAGTGACTGAGATTTGGAAAGATGGATGGGGGAGTAGACGGGTGGTTAAATGGATGGACCAGTGGATGGACGATTATGAGACAGGTGGATGGGGAAAGTCACTGCTGAGTCAGTGGTTCCATAGGTAGATATGAGAGATGCACATATAATACATGGACAAAACAGAGAAATGAAAGGTAGAGAGGAAGAAAGATAGATAAACAGCCATTATGGGGAATTTACAAATGCTTCTCCTGTTGCTCTTTTATTTAAGAATCATGCTTTCAAGGCTTTGCAACCAATTAAAAACTCAGGGCCCAGAGTCACTAATAGAAAGTGAGGATCACCAAAACCTACCCCAAAACTAGCATTAAATGTGGAGGACTGTCTTACTGACCATGCCCAAAGTAGGCTGTGAGCATTGCAGGCTGTGAACAGTGAACCCCACAATTGTCTTGCTTGGGAAGAGAGTCTGGCTGGAGCCCACGTGCTGAGGCCAAACTATTTCTTACCCAAAGTCTGTTTCCAGAGTTAAAACCTTCTTTACTAAAAAGGCAATGTTAATTATTAACCACAATTTATATTTTCTCTGTCCTGTTTCTATTTCAAGAATGCTTTGTCTCTTCCTGCACAAGCCTTACCTGCATCGGCAATATGTCCATAGCCACTCCAGGTGGTCCCTCCATGCAGCCCCTTTACCTCAGCCTAACTATGATGTCACCAATAAAAATTGATAGCTCTCCATGCTCAGTACCCTTGCTTGTTCAGCCTTGCTTGCATGAGCAGTGGTCATCCCGGGTCCCTGTATCTCCGTCACTAACTCTGTCTCTAAGTCTATCTTCTCCATATGCATTGTAGCACTGAGCAGGAGATCAGAACCCACCACTGAGTTGCTGATAATTAATTGTGAGGACTTGAAAAGAAAATTGTGTTAATAAGCATGAAGTTAATCCAAAAGTAGGATGAAATTATATCAGTACATTATGCTCATTGTGAAGGCAGTGTCATTTAAGAGTGAACCATTGTTTCCTCAATGTATGCCTTACATTTTCTGATAGGTTGTATTGAAAACAACATGTTCTATTTGATCTTTTAGAACCATGTCTGAAAGATTATTATTTAGAATTTTAAAACCCACAAACAATATGCATTTAGTACTTTGCACATTTTTTAATATGTGGGCTTTGGGAAAGATTTCTAGTCAGATAACTGCTAAAGCATATATATGGTACTAATGCTTATGGGAAAAAGAAACAGCATAGGAAGAAATCATTTTTTAAATGACCCTATTCATCCATCTACTTTCAGAGAGAGTAAAACTGAAATCAGAGGTCACAGGCTGCTTTAGATGTATGGACATAAAAATTAGAGTGTCATCACTGACTTCAGTTTTATTCTTTATGATCATTTCATTGAAGAAATATGGAAGAGGTGAATGGATCTTTTGATTCCTTGCGAATGAATTTTGTCATTGTTTTGCCCAAGTCGTGAAGTTCCCAAAGACCACCAAGAAGTCAGGTCCTATGCAATTACAAGAGGAGCTTATTGCAAGCTCGAGCCTGGACCCTCGGGTGTCATGGTCACAGTGGCTTCAGACCAAGAGTCCAGACCCATCTTTGAAGCAGGATTATATAGGGTTGGGGAGGTTCTCCCTTTTTATAGGTGCTATTTTTATCTTTCACTTACTCTTGGATACTTAAGGGGTACTGGGAGGGCACTTACTGAAAATTACTAATACCTATGTTCACAGAATCAGTTCCTCTTTCTAAAGAACATCTGATTAATCAAATTCTATAATTAACAGAACATGTGATTATCTTAAGCAACTAACCTTTTTATATGCTATTTTTATCTTTCACTTACTCTTGGATACTTAAGGGGTACTGGGAGGGCACTTACTGAAAATTACTAATACCTATGTTCACAGAATCAGTTCCTCTTTCTAAAGAACATCTGATTAATCAAATTCTATAATTAACAGAACATGTGATTATCTTAAGCAACTATCGGGAAGAAGATTCATCTTTGGGCCATAAAGAGAGGAACCAAAACACAGGGTGGAAGAAGAGGAACAGAAGCACAGGGTGGAGATTGCCTAGACAGAATGGAATTTTTTGAAGCTCTGTTCTGGACAAGGGGCACAGAGGGAGCCCAACTTGATCTGAAAACTTGGTCCTTACAGTCACCTTTTCCCAGAATGAGTGGGGCCCAAAAAGGCAGACTGAACATAACTAATTAGTTTATCCATTTGTACCTTTGATGACAGTGGGAATATTTTGCTAGCATCTTGCTTTGTTATATTATCTAGAAGATTTTGTGTGTGTGTGTCTGTGTGTGTGTGTTTACCTAACTGTATCTTTAGCTTAAAAACTACCATATTACATCCCCCCAATAAACTCTGTAAGGTCAATGGCGAAATCTGGTACATTTTAGATGGGTGCACATTAATCTGTGTTAAATGACTGACTTCCCAGTCTTCTTCATACCCTTCTCAATTCCTCCTGAAGCAATGATCCTTCCTGCATCTAACTGATAATAGAAGAATTGCTTTATACCTTTGCATTTATTTTCTGCAAGCATATTTCTTAGTCTGTAAAGTGGGGCTAATAATACAACTTTACTTTTATGTTAAAATCAAAATCAACAAACAGGTTAAAAATATATTATTAAAGGAGGCACCATAGAGATGTATCATTTTAAGAAGGACAAAGAAGAATGTGTAAAGGCAAGGAAAAAGTAGGGAAATCGAATCATCAGTGTATTCCAGGGAATTAAAAACTTCACTTTAAAATATTTATTTATATGTCTGGTACTTGGTGCCTATATTTTGAAACTTTTAGTTTACCTAGAAATTTTGAATGAAAAATCTTAAAATTGATAGTATATGAAACGATTACCAAAGTAAAATATAGTGTTTTATATTTAAGAAACTTCAGAGAAAAAAGGAAAATCTTAGAGTAATAAGTGCATTAGTTTCAAAGATCCTGGAATCCAAACTGGTCTTCAGATCTCACCTCAGCATTCTTCTCATTTTCTTTTAACTAATTCATCAAAATCTGTTTCTGGCCAGATTTCCCTGAATGTGCAAATGAAATAAAATACCATTTAATCGTGGAAAAGACTGGGGAAATAGAGGCATGGAGAGAGGGAAGAGAATGTCTGATCAAATGATTTTCCGCAATGTCACAGGTTTACAGTCTGACATAAGGACCAGATGCGGAGCAGTCAGGCCTTCTTTGGTAGCTTGTGCTTCCTGCTGTGACCATCAGCATGGACGGCAAGGGAAAAGGTGCGTGCAACAAGACAGAGAGATGTGGGCTCCACCAACACTCCTGGGTGGGGCAGTGTGAACTTTTAGCTGATCACAAGAGAGTTCAGTAATCATCTAGGCATTGTTCTGGAGAACAGTTGTACTGGAAAGAACAGCGTAGTTCATTGGTCCTCAGATGGTGGGGCATTCCTTGTTCTGGACACTTGGTAATGGAGATGTTTTGCATTGTCTTAATTGAGGTACAACAGGCCCCAGGAGGATGTTACTGGTGTCTCTTGGGTAGAGGACAGGGTGCTGCTAAGCATTCTCCCATGCACAGGACAGATCACAGAACAGCGAATTATCCAGCTCCAAAAGCCAGTATTGCTACAACAGAAACTCTGGAAAACTTTCAATTTTTCATATCTCTAGAAGGCAGAAAATGAAATTTTCTGGTTCTCAAGTTTGTTATGTGAATTGGTCAAGTTGAATCAACTCAAAACTTTTACTTCTTTAGTCACAGTGCTGACACTCATGTCAGATGAATACGTTACACTGCCTTGTCAGTTTAGTTAAAGCCAAATGACTCTTCAAAAGAAAAATCAGGCTGGTGCTAAGCCATCACCTTTACTAAGAAAAAAATTAATAACAATCATAAAATTTTAATGATAGAAAGAACAAAACATTTGTCTGTTTCATTTTATCTTAGAAAATCCTTCTACTAACACATGAGCAGAAAAATGTACTTAGAATTAAACAACAGTTATCCAGTTATGAGTATCCTAGAGCAGCTATCCTACTTACTTTTATCTGCAAAGCACAGGTCGTTTACATATGTGCATAAAATAAGCATTGGCTACATTACATTAGTATATGGTGCATAAAGCCAGTTTTAGAATCATTACATTTTCAAAAATTAAAAGTATATGATATGAATTATATTTCATTACTTTTGCAACTAAAATTTTATTTAGTTACATTCTATAATAAAAATTTTAGGTATTTTCTGTTATTTCATGTTTTTGTGATGAGGCATTTTTTATATATACATTTTAATACTTGCCTACATTTATCTTAGAGAGTTCTAATTACACTATGGAAGGCTCTGTGGAACTTACTCATCTAATTATTACATTTTATATCAGAATTTTGGAGTAGTGTCATTATGATGGTTCAAATGTGATTTTAACTTGGTAGCTACCGGTTGTTTCTGTTTTTGCCAATTCATATTATTGATAGGCTAAACATCTTTATCTTTCTCCCAACTGAAAGGGAAAACTGATGAAACTACATGTCATCACTCTCAAAGATTTTTAAAGTGGGAGTTTAACAGAGCAGGGAAAGTGGATAAAATCCCACTTCCATGGCCTCTTTATCCAACACTGAAAGCACAGAGTTGTGACCATCAGCAGCTCTGCACATACTGCACCCCGTGGCTGTTCCTGTGGTCCCTGCTGCACAGATGCAGCTGGGAGCCCACAGGTGAGCATGGAGTGAGGAGGCGAAGGGCAGGGATGGCAGCACTGGTGCTCTGCCTCCCCATCTGCTAATCGCAGGACTTTGGGAGACTGACCTAACCTCTGTAAACCTTGTGATTCATCAGTATAATCTGATGATAGTTATAAAAACTCAGGATAGCCAGGCGTGGTGGTGCATGCCTGTAATCCCAGCCCTCAGGAGGCTGAGGCAGGAGGATTGCTGTGAGTTTGAGACCAGCCTGGGCTACACAGTGAGTTCCAGGTCAGTCTCAACTACATAGTGAGACCCTGTCTAAAAAAAACAAAACCCAGGATGATAGTAAATTTCAACTTTAGAAAAAAGCTACACGCTTTGGCAAAGTTGCAAGAAGATGCTTGGGGTTATGATGCCACTTTAGCAGATCCAGGCCATGCCAACAATTTCATTATAGGATTCTCTTCATACTCAGTATTAGAAACTAAGCCGTCATGGTGTCTTCTTTTAAAGCTAGAAGATAAAGCTAACAAATAAACTGTGTTGTTTTCTTCATGGCAGTGTCAAAAATGTAAATATTGGACAGTGAGTTAGTCTCTCTAGGAGACACACTGCTGAAAACTTACAGAATTCCTGCAGACATTGAACTGCTCTAAGGCAGATTTCAACACTCCAAATCACGATTAATTTAAGTTCTAAATATTTTCAAGGCACAGAAGCACCTCTGAGAGCAATACAGAAATGAGTATAAGTATATACCAGAGTGTGCAGTGGAAGGTGCAGATCCTCCCCATCTCAGCTACAAAAGCAGAAGACATTGACTGGAGGAAAGTCAGGTGACAAGGCTTCCCTTGGCAGGCTTGATCTTGATAACTTTGGCTAAGTAGATCACCTGAGTGGCTTGTGTTTTAAGCAGACTCCCTCATCCTGCTGGTTACGTTCACCTTGCTCCTGTGTAAGAATGTGGCTTCCTTGTCCACCTGCTCTGCCAGGGATGGGTGCTGGGAGAACTTCCGAGAACTGTTTTATTCTGCAAACATGTTGTCTGAAATAATGCAACAGTCCTCTTCAGATCTCTTGCATGAATTTGTAAGTACTCGTTTCTTCTTCTTCCCCAAAGAGGTCTTTAACCAATGGTGCTTCAATAATATGTGTGAATAGATTAAAGAAAGCAGTGGCCAATAAAAAGTGGAGCAACAGAAAGGACAATATCATTAAATCTGAAACTGTCAAAGAATGGAATGATTTAAAAAACATTTCTGGAAAATCACTTAAGTTTTAAAAATGTAAACACCTGATGTAAATGACTTTTCTGTGTGGCTGAGGAGGAACATTTTTTCTTCTTTCCTATAGTGTAATGGCCAGGATTCTTCACTGCAGATATCCAAGAAAAGACAGACATTGGAATAAATTGGGTGGATTGAACAGAATTAAACTAAAATGAATTCATGTCTGAGCATTAAAAATCCCCAAATTAATAGCTTTTCAGAAACTTCAAAATCTAGGAATCATTGTTCTAAAATTTCCCATTGAGGAGTTTATAATTATAATGTAGGATAGTTTAGAACTAGAAACAGGTTCTTCCTCTCAAAACTACTTTTAATGTCCTTTGTTTTTTCTTCTCAGTCAATGAGTAGACAACAGATTATACATTAAATACATCAGAGATCCTCTATAGAGAATGTGACCTAGTTATTGTAATAAATATTTACTGATGCAGTCCTTTTTTCCCCAGTAGTGTTTTTTTTCTTTCTTATTTTTAACAGGTAATATTTCAACTGCCAAATCTTCCTAGCAATCCTTAAAATTTTACAGCCATTGCTTAATACTGTTCTCTGTATTTCTTTTTGGATTCAACCTTAATCAATTACTTAGAATTTCCTGAAATGATTTGTCCTGTTTTATGACTTAGCAATAAAAATTTTTATTTTGAATTTACTATGAAGTTGGCAAGACACAGGTGTGTGTATTAAGAGGTGATTGAAAGAGAAACTATAATTTACATCTGTTTAAGGAAAGAATGTCATTTCAGAGCCACAGGAAGCAGAGATTGACTGGGGCAGTGTGGACACATAGGCACCACAGCTTGTGTCAGGCCACAGAGAAAAATGACAAGGAACATACTTGCAGATTTGTAGTTTTGATATTTTTATGTTTATACTTCAAACAGTATCTCGTAGGAAGGGTGAGACAGCAAGGGCATAGCAAAACAGGGAAGAGGTGGGGAGGTTAGGAAAGTTAGCTGAAAAAACAGTGAAATTACAGAGCTAAAATATGAAGGCAAAAGGTTACATCCTTAATTCTTTCCTTTCAGTTTTTATGTAGCTGTCACTTTTAAAAAATTGCATGTCCATCTCATGCAGTGATATTCTCTTAATGGATTCGACTTTTCAGTTACCAGCCACAACCATTTAATTTTCTTCATCGTTTCCAGGACACCCAGTATTCTCAGAGCCCATTCCTGTCTACGTCGGCCACGAGCCAGTGTCACACAGCCTCCCTCGCCACTGCGTCCCTCCCTAGCACAGCTGCCCAGGAGCAACCCCAGCAGGCGCAGGTGAGCCGACTTCTGGATCCTCACAGCAACCAGGCAGGCACTGGCTTTGTTATGTGGTGGGCTCAGAGAAGCTCTGTGATGTTTGGTAACAACAGTCGCAATGGAGAGAGCAAGGGAGGAAGAGTAAGCAGCTAAAGAAAAAAATATACCATGTGGTTGATAAACTACACATAAAATCAAATGCTAAATAAAGATTGTGCTAGATCCACAAATTGTAAATGCACACAATATAATTTAAACTGGTGCCTTGTATTTAGGATTGAAAATATAATGCTGTAGAGGAGCTTGAACAGAATTGTACATTCACACACAAATGCAAGAAGAGCAGATCTAGTTTTATGTTAGGACCGTGCATAGGTGGCCGTTTAGGTTACCGAACCCTGTCGGATCCTCACCATTTCTCCTGGGCTCCCAGCACCCTTCTGCCCCTCCCCCTCCTCCTTCTCCTTCCGTTTCCGCTTCTCTGACGCTGACTTCCTCTCTCTGCTCTCACCCCACCACCCTGCTAGGTCCCAACGGAAAGTCCCCAAGCTATGCGTGTCCTGCAGAAATCAGGTGCAACTTTGGTCTCTGTTCTGGTGACAGCAAAGTCAATACCTGAAGCCCAAGGCATTTATTCAAGATCTATTTTTTTGGCTGTTTTAATCTCTTCTGATTCCATTCTATAAAGTCTTACAATGATTTAAAATAAAAAGAATTTCAAAGGAAAATCCGAATTGAATGTTGAGTAGCACGCTTAGAAGATGGTGCTATTTCCATCAGCCAGCTCTGTGCCTGTTTGTATCAAAGTAGCAAGTACAGGCCAAAGGCTTACTTTTTGAAATTTTTCATAACTTCTGTCAGAAAAACTTCATACACCAAGGAATAAGCCAGAATGTTTTAGCCCAGTGCTTAGTAGAACATCCCTCCCTAACGCCCTTTTCCCGCAGGGCGCTGCCCCGGCCGAGGCGCTGCACCTGGCGGCCCGGCTGCTGCGCTCCTGGGACGACCCCCTCTTCCACCTGGTCAGCGAGGCGCACCTGCTGCTCGCGCTGCACCTCCTCCTTCGGAGCTAGAGGCGGTGTGGCGCTGCTCAGCCACCGGCTCCAGAGGGTCCTGCGGAGTATCGCCCACCAGGTGAGCAGCCCTCCCGCCCAGACGAGAGGTGAAACATTTTCCAGGGCAAGCAAATCAGAAGGGGACTTCCGTAAGAAATGTTTTCTCCAGAGTGTCTCAGGACTCCCATGCTGAAATTTTGCCCAGATTCTTTCCCTTTTCTTCTCATACCTGAGGATTAGGATGGGAAGGGGAACCATATTGATTGTTTCTCCGTAACCTGCCCGGAGGGCGCTAGGAGGCAGGAGCGGCAATTTTCCCACAAGCACTAGATTTTAAGGAGAAGCACATCCTCTCCGGAATGTTTCTTGTTTTATGATTTAGAGAAAGTTACTCTAAATTTCGTTTTCCATGGTGTAGTTGAATGCAAATTCATATCATTGCATTTAATTTTCCCAAATAATTTCTCATTCAAAGATTACATTAACATTTTAAATATACACACTAATTTTCAAGGTATTTTCTTCATCAATATGAGCCTGCCCTCTGAGGTCATTCATCTGTTCTGTAATGCTTCATTTTCTTCATCTTTTCCCACCACTTTGAGTTCATTTTCATATCATTATACTTTACAAAGGAAATACTGTTTAAAGGCTCAAGCACATTAAGTAAAGTAATAAAAAGGAGAAAGCCAGGTAACCAATATACACACAGACACACTCAGACACACACACACACACACACACACACACACACACAGACAGATAGACAAAGAAACGCAGATACACACAGACACCTGCATGATTAAGTTCCAATACAATCTTTCCTTCTCTGTAGAAAAAAGTTCAGCAGATCAGGGTCTACAATTATTCCAGATTTGTACCTTGTAGCTCTGGAATGGAGAGAGCATCTTCAGAGGCTGCAGTGTTACTGGGTCACAGGTCAGTGGGGTCTCCCAGGATACAGAGGCCAAAGGAGGCCCCAGGGACCACTGTTTCCTATTTTGTGTCATGCAGTAGTTTTCTCCAACTCCCTCAGTCCCACCCCACTGCATGACACTTCCCATGGGGGCTTGATGCCAGCACCCTCCTTCTCTCCTTCCATTAGGTGATTTCCTAGCAACTTCTAGCCCATAAAAAAAGAAAAAGTCAGCTGTTCTTCCTGGGAATTTGGAAGGTACTTTTTCTTCAGTGGGATGAAGGAATCTGATATTCTTTGTCAATCATGAATTGAATGTCTGCGTCTGAAAATATCAAGTGCAGTTCTCACCTTCACTAAGGCTTTTGTTACAGACATTATATGACAATAGATTCAGTTCAAAGCAACACAAAGATAAATGGTGATGGATCAGAAGATTAAAATACAAAGGGCACATTAAGCACAGATGCAGGTGATGTAAATGTTTCTTAAGTGAGAGAACAGAAGCTGTTTGTACAGTCCCTCAGTGAGGTCCAGTGTTTACTCAGTAGTGACTTTCTGGGCCTCCACCCATCCGCTCCTGCAGGAGCACACTTCATCTGTGGTCATTTTCATGCCAGAAAAAGTACTTATGTCTTGCTTCTAGCTCTTAGATCAATAAGAGAATTATTCATCTTGGCCTGCACACATGAAAACCCAAGAGTTTGGTTAAAATTATATCTTTCCTTCTCTTCCTCAAATCTTAGCAGTCAATAGGAACAAAGATAAAGAAATACTAATAATATGATGAATAACTGACTATCTTTTGTGGCTAGTTTTATCCTGACGTGCCAGGCACAATGGACTATGCTGTCTGGACAGAGCTTCCTTCCCTTCAGTCAACTGATGAAGAAACTCACTTGCCTGTTTTTTATAACCTGCTTCACTGCTGGAGCATGGATGCAAAGAAGATTCACACTTATCTCAAAGCAGTGGAGTGCCAGGTCATCTCTGATGGCAACTGCTGAGAACAAGCCCATTTCCCCTCTTTCCAAGATGGTCCTTCTGGCTGGAGATGTGTCTCAGTAGCGCTGTGCCTGCCTGGCAAGCACAAGGTCCTGAGTTCAATCTCTGGTACTGAACATGTCTCTCTTCTTACAAAATAAAAGCCAACCCTTGGATCTTCTCAAAATCATAAATACCAATTGTCAAAATCTGTATTTTTTATTACATATAGAACCAAAGGCAAATCTGTCAACACTATTGAGAAATGTCTGTGAAAATTTCTCACACGCAATAGAAACTAGGATTAGAACTAAGAGAACAACTTACTTCAGATTCACAGTGAACTAATGTGGGTCATGTTATGAAAACTGAAGTGAGTAAATACTATTAATTATTCTAGTTACAATGTTAAACATAATCAATTCTCAAAACTTTTATGAAAGCCAACCTTTTTCTATAAGCTAACTTTCAGAAAGTTTTGGCAGACAATACAGGTTTTATTCTAACTGCCACACCCCTAAAGAGGCTTACTGATCAGTTTAAAAATTGTTAATGGCTTTAACAATTTATATGAGATGACTTTAGATTTCTATAACAGCTGCCTTCAACCATGTCCCACTGCATTCCCATCTGGTTAGCATCATTGTGGGAACACTCCATGTGCTCTAGAATCTTGGAGTCTCACAAGTCCAGTTCAAGCAAGTTTTGACTCCATCTCATATTCACCTGTTTAATACTTTCTTCTTCCTCTGCATTACCTCAAGGGACACAGCTGGAAAAGCAGATGATCAGTTCTTGCAACCCTGTGCCACCTTTGATCTCCATTTCTCTGACTAGTTTGGGATGGAGTAAAGATACAGAAGAAAGCTTCTCACATCATGGACTTGTGGGGTGCTATCATAGACTTACCACTGCTGGCAGGGACTCACCCCAAACTTTCTCTTAGTGCTGGGTATCTCTCTAGTGGGAAGCACCTGTGATTCTCCAAGACACCTGTGGGGACAGCTACAGTCTCAGGGCTGAGAGAAGTTTTGGGCTGCCTCTGTTCCAGTGATCACTTTGACTGCTATGTGGCAACTTGGAGGTGGGCCAGGGTTGAAAAGAAGAACCAAGAGACCAGTGCCCGTGTCTAGCAAGAGGTTCATTTCTTTTCCCTCTATATTCATGGTTACCCAGGTATCCTCAGAGGAGATGACCAGAGTGAAGTGGCAATGAGTGCCCTGGGGCTTTTCAGTCTTGTGGGACCAGATGGTGAGAGGGTCCTCTCCCTGGGACCTTCATCCCTGGGAGCAGTCCAACTTTCAGTGGTCTCCTTTGCAGACAGAGAATAGGTCAGTGGGCTTTGATATGGTGGTTTCTGACACAGTCCCTCTTAAAAAGGCCCAGTTTCCCACAGCTGTACCAAAGGGGCATGGATGGAGAGCCACTCTTTGAATTCCAGGAATCAGGTACAGGGTCAACCTGCAGGGCCAGAACCAAGGCAAACACTCCTTCGTAGTTTCTTCCTTTCTCACTTGGCTTCCTCTCATTCCTGGTTATACATTCTGAATGTGACCCTTACCAGACAGAGTGTCAGTGAGCTCTCTGGGGTGAGGCCCACCTCTGAAACTTTCTCCTGATCATAAGCACACTGGGTGATGAATTGGTCTTTAAGGGTAATTTATCCTTCCTCTGTCTCAGGAGTTGAGAGGTGCATTTAGTGAGGACCTTCTATAGCTGATCCAGAAAAGTGGAGGGTGTCAGGGGTCTCTAAGGGAGAGGGACCTACTATGAAAAGACAGATGCAAAATAGTGAGGCACAGGGGGTCAGAGCTTTGAGGAGCAAAGACCCAGATGCCTTATTTGATCCTCTTTTATATCCTACACAGTAAGCTGCTACATATCACTAGTCACAGGCTATGTTAATCATTACAGAAGTTAAAATACTACAGAGGTTATAGATGGCAACAGTAAATTTTGCTTCTGGAGCCAAGCTATGGCAAACATACGTTGAATAAACATACTCAGGGAGACATTCTTTCCTTATCTACAAGCAGCAGGGAGCTCCTGGGACATTTCAAGTGCATGTCTGAGAGATCATCTTTGATCACTTGCTTTCAGGCCTTCCTAACACCTCCATGAACACACGCACAGGTCACCCAGTGGTCTCTTGCACTGAGACAGTTTCATCTGGAGGGATTTTCATCTTTTCCCTGGTGATGGCTTGACAGCTTTTAGAGTAATTTAGGAGCTTGAACCTAGTTCTCACACTGAAATCAATACCATGTCATACAAAGAATAAAAATTCTGAGGGGTTAGAATTATGTATATCATTTTATGTGATACTTTAATTTGGAAGGAACAAAGTGCACATTTACTCAGAGATGGATATTCATGTCATCTAGAATATCTTTTCCCCATATCTTGGCTTCCAAGGAAAGTGAACTCCACAATTTCTATTTACTTCTGCATACTGAGTTTTTTTTTTTTTACTGTACTTCTTTATTAAAATGTCTTCCCTTAATTTGAAAGTGACCCTGAGTTCTGGTCTAGACTAGCATGGATCGGCTTGTCTTTACTCTTGAGACTGAAAGAAGCAAGAAGCCACGCCAGTGGACTGTTTCTTGCTAGTAAAAGAAGGTGAGCAGGTTTAGGACCTAAGAAGTGGAAGATGAACACAGTAAACCATGGAACAAGGCTGCTCAGGACCCACATTTCCCCCAAATTGGGGTCAGAAGGCAGCCTAGGTAGAATCACTCTTTCTCTTGATAGAGAGAACTTTTATAAATCACCTAAAAACCCACAAAATGTTAGGAAAATGTAAAATGACTTCTGCTTTCTCTAACAGCAATCTGCTTTGTTTTGTTCAAAACTAACAGATAACAGAGGCATTGACCATGAAATGGGACATCTGGCCTCATTGTGAGATAACAGAGCACATCAAGACCTCAAAGTCTTGTAAACCACACGATTGAAAAAGTCTCAAGATGAAAAAATAATTATTAACTCTGTTTTCCTGACCTTGAACACCTCCTTCCTGTGAGATACAATAGATAGATAGATTAATCCTAAGGTAAACTCCCTAACTATGAAGAATTGCTACGTCTGGATTGAAAGTTAACTGTCTTATGACTGTGATTTGTACATCGGTAATGTAAACTGAAGACATGAACTGTAACCACCTGAATGAGATCATGGCTGTAAAACCCTATAAAAAAGAAGCTGTAACCCAATATGGGGTCACTGGCACTGCTTTTAGTGCAATTGGCTTTTTGCTGACAAAATAAACCTTTTATTATTTTACTTTCATTCTGCATCTCTGTGTGTGTCATTTACCAATTCCTTCTGCAACACCCTAACTGAACCTAACATCTCAAATGTCACATGGGAAGCCAGGCAGATTCTCAGGGTGGATCAGTGAGGAGGAGTTATTTAATTCTAGCTTTCAAATAGTACTAACCAAGAAACCACAATATTATAGCTGTAACAGAATAGTAGACACTGGGCACATGATGCCAATATACTAAATTAGAAAGTACATAATCTCCAGTATATAGAGCCTCAATCCCTTTAGGAAGTACCCACCTAAAGACAGAGGCCTATGCTCAGTGATAAAGAATTATAGGGATTTATGTCTTTCAGAGGGAAATGAAGCAGGGGATTAAGGCATGGCAGATCATGGCTGGACAACCAGGCATGATCTGTCAGTCACAGAGAGCTGTGAAATAAAGGTGAGGATTCAGGTAGAGAGCCGCTTGAGAGCCCTAAGTGGGACATCCTGCATCTGACAGCAAAGAAAATACAAAACAAGGCAGCAATTGACTTCATAACTACTTTCTTCTTGTTCATCCTGTGGCCTGCCCTAAAAGTAGGGCACATCTTTTCTTTTCTCCAGAGCACTTCTTCCTCTTGAGCAGTTCTTTTTACACTAATTTTTCATGTTTTATCTTAAATGAACATTGAGCTTTTCATTCATTAGTTGTGTCATCCAATTCTTTGAGCAAGACAAGAGCCTGGAAAGGACCACTGGGTTCCTTACTTCTGATAACACAATGGTTACATTTTAGGGAAGTGGGATAGTTTATTCCCCACAAATAGATGCCCAAACTATGGATGTATTTATCAGTAAAATAAAATGAGAATGGAGAACAAAAAATATCTCCAGATTCTTGTTTCATCAATTAAGAGCATTGAGATCAGTATAAAAAATTACCATGTGCTACCACCATTATTCAATAAAAAGTCAACCAAGAAACCTCATTGACATGTCACATGTATATGCAAACATCATATGAAGAAATAACTTATTTTGTTTAACTGATAAGTTCTAATTATTACAATTAAAAAACAAAATTCCCAAAGTGTATGGTATTAAACATTTACAGTTGGTTCATGTAACCTTAAATGAAATGTCTAATTTTTATAATTTTTCAGACAATTAGTAAAAAGCTCTACAATAAATATTTCTGTTGTGAATTCTGACATTGAAGAAATTTGTCAGTCAGCCTTGAGAAGTACATTTTACCTGCTCTCCCATATCTACCAAAAAGAAAATGAGTTTGAACTAGAAAGCATGCTGGTTTCAAGTTTAGATACACTCAAAAACTCTCTATTCCTTATAACAGTGGTTCACCAACTACAGCCTTTCCAGAGTCACATGAGGGACTCTTTAAGAACATGAAGGAGATGGCTGGGTCCATGCTCAGGCTGTGTGATCAGTTGCTCCTTGTGGATCAAAAATATACATGTAAGTCCAGGGAAGGCAATTTTCAAGCCGTGACCACGTGTACAGTGAGATCTCAAGTTAGAGGTCAAATTTTGTATTTCTAGGTAGTATTCTCCACAAACCTGATTAAGCAAACCTATGTGAATTAAAGGGAATATATTTCTCATAACATAGTAAGATTGGAAATAGAAAATATAGTCCAATAAGTGCAACTGTAGGTGGTTTTGTGCTGGATGAGTATTCAACCTAGGGAGCTGCAGCACTGAATATTGAAAGGTTGGACATCTGTGGTGCCTAACACAAAGCCCCATGTGTCCTTACCATCTGTGATATGCTTGGAGGCCCTGGGAGTGAAGACAGCCCTCTGCAGTTGCTGGTCACTCATTCCCTCAGGAACAAAGACAGGACATGTGTGGAGCTTTGGTAATTTTTTTCTTCTTTTTTTTTTAAATTATTTTTA